TAGCGATTTGATATATGTGAGTTAAAAAGATGATTAAAAAATGTATCATGAAAAACTTAAAATTTTTTTTGGAGAAAAATTGCAATCCAATATTTTCTTGGCATGGGGATCGAATTCTTTTGAACTTAGTGTTGTTTCTCGCTAATTATTGCACAAATAAAACTATGAGCTTGATTTGTCCTATTCAAACATATTAGACATACTTAAGGACCATATAAAAAAGAAAATTACTAATTGGCATATCATGTTTACACTATCTCGATATTTTCACTTCATACAAAAAAGATATAATGAGTGCTACTTTTCATTTTAGTTATACAATTTAATATTCAGGGAGATCTTGTGAATGCAATGAAGGATAAAGGTGTGTGTGAGTGTGTGTGTATATATATATAAAGTTGTGATAACAAGGCCATAATCACATCCTATATAAAACAGAGTGCAGTTTGGACTGTATGAAATGTAAATGAATGATTAAGAACACCTTTTTGTTGTGTGAGAATGATCAAGAACACTAAAATCAAGTGACAAAGGTTAAAACCATAATTTGCTAAATCTTGGATCAATTGTATATAGGTGGTGGCAAGCATTTCTTGTAGTTTTGGTGGTTTACTCAGCCTGGTCATCTCCATTCGAGCTAGCGTTCAAGAAGGTGGCCACCGCCTCACTGTTGCCAGTTGACTTAGTTGTTGATGTATTGATATCGTTCTTACTTTCTTCGTGGCTTACTTGGACAAATCCACCTACTTGCTCGTTGATGATCACAAGAAAATAGCCATGAGGTACATGTATAATATTACTGCATTTCCCTGTTTATTTTTTTTTTAGAAGAATACAAAGAAAAAAAAAACTAATGATTCAGATAAAGGTGCGGTAACTAAAAATATCAAAACTGATATCTTACTTCAGTTGGACGTTTGGGCTTCTCGGGATAACTAGGACGGTTGATAGTTAAAATTTCGAAAAAATTGCACCTTTGATACAAGAAATTGTGTATTTTCACACAGGACCTCTAGGCATTTACATGCATGTCTCATACAATGAAGTCAAGTTATAGGTAATGCCAAGTGTTTGTAGCATAGGATAGCTCATACTTGTGTATATGAATTTCTATATTCTCGATTATAAGTCATATATATATACTTATATATATATAATAAAATCTGGGTTTGAAGGCAAAAACATATATTACTAGAATTGTTACTCATTGGAACAAGAAAAAGGACATTGATACTAGTCTTGGAAATTTCAAGTTTGAAGATTTTCGCTTATATGATAAGGGAAGTTTTGATTTTGTATTTTTTGTTAATGATTGTAAACTTAAAAATTTTTGGCCAAGGGAATATGGCGTTTTGCTGCTTCCAGTTTCTTTAAGGCAAATGATAGTAGCAGTCCGAAAAAAGGTTCCACACATTCCACATGCATTTATTCACAATTGTTGAAAATGACATATATATATATATATATATATATATATATATATATATATATATATATATATCCATAATCTAGATTGTCTAACAATTTTTAAATAGCAAAATTACTCTCAAGGTATAGTGTAGTGATTATTTTACATTATTTTTATGAAGACCTCTACACTCCTGACAACAAAATTTTAAATTTATATGAAAAAAAAAACTCTAATGTTGTTTCAAGTTGTAAAAACAATAATAACGATGAACTAAGCCAAAAATAATAGACAACTCCAAACCATGAAATCTAATACTTTACTCAGTCACTACCAAATAATTCATACTCACACGGCATTCTACAAAATCATTGCTATTATGAATTTTCTCCGTTATTAGTTGTATAATAAATTAACACTAACTTAAGAGTAGAGAAAACTAATTGAATTGAAAAGACAAATTAGAGAAAGCTATAATACATAAAGGAACAATTTCGTCTTCTACAATATTTTATAAGTTTTTATGTCATTTTATTTTATTTGGCTCCGTTTGGATTCTTTATTTTTTGAAAAACAAGATTTTCATATACAATACTACAGTAATACATAAACAAAAATAACTCCAAAAACACCACATTCATACAATCCGGCTCCGTTTGAATTAGTTGTTTTTGGGGATATTTTTGAAATATTTTACTGTAACGTTATATACGAAAAAAATTATTGTAAATACTTTTTGTGATATTTTTGGAGGTGTTTTGGGATATATTTTGGGGTAATTTTAATGTTCAAAAATTTTTGTGATATTTTTTAAAAATTACCATGATCACCCATCACTGCTACCATCTCCTCCCTCTTCCCCCCTCCCTCTCTTTCTTCTTCCCCCTCCTCCCTTTCCCCACCATGCCTCACCCCTCTCCTTGCCCCCCCCCCCCGGATCTTCCTCAAGGCCTCTGATCATGACATCGTGACTAGATCATAGCCTCTAGTCGAGGCTAGATTTGGGAGGGCAGGGGAGGGATGGGGTGTGGTGGGAAAGAGAAGGAGAAGGGGAAGGGAGAAGAGGAGGAGGAAGAGGGAGGGAGAGGAAAAAGGAGAAAGAGGGGGGTGGTGATGATGGTGGGTAGGGATGGTGGTAATAGATAGAAGAAAAAAATGGTGTAGATTTTATTTTTTATTTTTTGTATGTTTGTGGTTGTTTTTTATATGTACCTGGAGTCTTTCTTGGTTTGCCTTTCTTTAAATATCTAAAATATGAAAATGCATTAATAGAATTCATAATTTTTTGTTCTCACATATAAGCAATAGCTTGTATTCTTTTGGTTTTTGACTCCTCTGGATTTATTTATTAGGTATGTCAAACATTTATGGTTTCCCATGGACGTAGCTTCTACGCTGCCATTTCAGGTTATCTACCAAATCTTCACTGGAAAAAGGCATTACGGACAAGTCTTTGGGTTCCTCAACTTGCTCAGGCTATGGCGACTTAGACGTGTTAGCGAACTTTTCTCCAGGTACCATTAATATAAGCTAACAGAAGCAAAGAGTTAAAAGAAAGTAGCATCAAATCAATACCAAGGAAAGTGTTCGATCCAGGGGTCAATCAATTTTCGTCAACTCTATGCTTAGCCAGCCATTGGCGAAGTTTTTCATGGTATAGCCTAAAAAATTTGGAGTAAGAAGTACTCGCCCCATCCCACTCACTTTAATATGCTTGATTTTTTTACACAACTTAAGAAAATTAGTTAATTTTATTGGAAGAATAAATATAACTTACTATCTTCCTAAAATACCCTTACATTAAATAGAGTATGACTAATTAGCTTTTCATTAAATAAGTTAGGTTATATTCAATAACAACCTATATCAAATAGGAGCATTTTAGAGAAATTATAAATTAACTACATTTTTCAATTGAAAAGTGGGTTATAATTTGGAACAGATGGAAAAAAAAAGTATGTTAAAGTGGGATGGAGGGAGTAAAATTTTATCCTTAAAATCTATAGACATTAGTCCTACATCAGGAAAAGAAGTTTAACACAACATAAATTGAAAAAAGTGGGCATCTAGATCTTGAAAAAACAGCAATAAGGATAGCAATTACACATAGAACACACTTCCATGATTAGCTATCCAATTTTAACAATTTTTGAGTTATCTTTGGTTCCAGGCTAGAGAAGGACACTCGCTTCAGCTACTTCTGGACAAGATACTCGAAACTAATATGTGTAAGCTTGTGCAACTTTTTCCAAAGATTAGCTGTCATGTAATTAGCATTAATCCAGGCTTATGTTCAAGCTTATGCGACAAATAAAAGCACAAGTTAAACCTTTATGGAATAAGAAACTTGCTAATTACCCTCTATCTCGTTACAAACATACCTACATTTTCTTTTTACCCATCCGAAACTATTTTGTGAGTTTAAATTGATCTAAATCACGAGCGGGTGAAATTCAAATGCATATATATATATACTACTTTAAGCAAGCAAAGGTATGGTCTTATGTAATTCCTCTTACTCTTGATCCCAGGTGACCTTATTTGCGGTGCACTCAGCTGGTTGCTTCTACTACTGGCTGGCAACACATCATCATGTGGCAGATGATACATGGATTGGTTCTTTGATTCCTAATTTTCAAGACAGAAGTGTGTGGTTGGGATACACTTGTTCCATGTATTGGTCCATTGTCACTCTCACAACTGTTGGCTATGGAGATTTGCACGCAGTGAATACAGGAGAAAAGATTTTCAACATGTTGTACATGCTTTTTAACATTGGCCTCACAGCATACCTAATTGGCAACATGACAAATCTTATTGTCCACAGTGCTGTCCGAACCTTTGCCATGGTAACAACTTCCTGTCCCTGACCATCCATTATGATTTCATTAAGAGCATATGACCTAATAAACCCCCCCCCCCCAGCCAAAAACCTGCATTATGTTTCCGAATTGCAGAGGGATGCTATCAATGAGATCCTGCGATATGCAAGCAAGAATCGACTACCAGAAAGCTTGAAAGATCAAATGCTGGCACATGTTACGCTGAAATTCAAGACCGCGGAATTACAGCAAGAAGAAGTAATAGAAGATCTGCCCAAGGCAATAAGATCTAGCATCGCCCAGCATCTTTTCCGAAAAACTGTGGAAAGTACTTACCTTTTCAAAGGAGTCTCTGAAGACTTTATTGTTCAGCTGGTAATAACAACTCCACTTGTCCCAACTACTAAAATCCTATTTCCAACTCACAATGTATTGATTTCTTGGGGGCATTCCTAAGGGAAGTTCTGATATCTTAGCCTAAACATAAATTCAAACAAAGACACAAAGGAATACTTTACTCAAGTATGACCTATGGTTTTCTCGTCACAGGTCCCAGAGATGAAAGCAGAGTATTTTCCACCAAAAGTTGATATTATTATACAAAATGAAATATCAACAGATTTCTACATTATTGTATCCGGAGCTGTGGTATATTATCTCTTTAATGATGCTATATTCATGATCTGACTTGTTTGACATGCACATTCTAACTGCTGCAAGTTGCAGGACGTGATAACATACAAAAATGGCATGGAGCAGGTACTTTTCGTTTTTTGAAGTTCACAAAATCTTATCCTTTATGCCGATGAATTATAAATGATAATTGAAGAACTAAGAGTGGATAATAAACTCATAAAACAGCATAAGAGTGATATTATATCAAAGATAGAGAATAAGGAACAGTATATTGAAATTGAAGAGAATGTAATTAATTGTGCTTCCTTCAGTGGATTGTGATGGCAAACCTAATGCTGAGAAAACTTCAGACTATTACTGGGATTTAAATATGAAGGCATGCCGATTGTGGAGAATGCCTTTGGGAACTATGATATTCAATCATTTAATGTAGATTCAGCAATAAGGTCAATTTCAACACAGAATAACGATAGATAAGAATATGCAATTTTTCTGTTGTCAATTAAACGCTATACCGATATTGTAAGTTAACTAAATTGTGAAGCACTTTACCTTGAGTTTTAAATTTATTATCAGTCCTAAAGATACTTGAGAGATATCTGATCTTAAGCAACACTTTACAAGTGTTTAACCCTAAAGTCAGGGATGTCGTGGATAACTAGTGTGTTTCGTGTAAGATTATAATGGCAGCAGACAGATGGACAATGTAAAGAATGCCTGTTACTTCATTCCAGATTTCTCAGAAAGCTCTCAATTATATGAATCTCATGGGCGGAATCATGAAAATAGATGCATAGCTAAATCAACATATAAAGGCTACAGCACAAAGAAATGAGAGAGTAAAACTTGAAACATTTGGCAGCTTATGGGGATCAGAACATTTCATCACCCAAGCACTCTTCACTTAAGAGAATTATCTTCACTCAGCATCAGTACAAATTAAACATGTATACTGAACAGAAAAAAAATAATAGCAGATCTGTGCCTTTTCTTGACAAATGAAAGAAGTTCAAATAAACTCTACATACCATGAATCTAGAATACCAATACTAAGAAGACTGCCAGAGTTTGTAACGAGTGGGAGTCTCATTCCAGGATAGGCATTCAGTATCATTTAGGATAATTCCTCCATGAACTGGTGTTTCTTCATCCTAGCCTTCAGCAAACTGTCCCCAAAAATTGTGCATTGAAACAAAAATCAGAATTAAGAGGCTGTTCTTGGAAGTTCATCAGAAGGATATAGCAATTTCTGGAAAGTAGAAAGCACCCCAGGTCTAAGTACATATCAGTGTGCTAAATATGCATTGGATATTACCTTTAGAAACATCAGGTACATGACATCTAATTACAAGAAATTGGTCAGGGAAATCACAGTATATGTGCGCAGACTTTCTAGGAATAAGCATCAGACTTTTGACATCAAAATGCAGCAAACCTAAAATAGGGAAGGCTAAAACAACCACCTAATATGTTTTTATTACTTTCCCTAGTCAACTAAGCTTTGTGAATTCGGATCATTATCTTTTACCATTGACACATTTAAACTTTGAATTGTTTCAGTTCCTGTCGAAGACAGGGCCTCCTGATATGTTTGGGGAAATAGGGGTAATTTTTAATGTCCCTCAACCTTTCACAGTCAGAACTAGGAGGCTGTCTCAGGTTATACGGATCAGCCATCATAACTTCAAGCAATTGCTGCAGCCGTTTAATGAAGATGGAAAAATAATGCTCTCCAACTTCCTTCAGGTTAATTCTCCACAAGTTTTCCATCCTTTCTAATTTTTAGTGTCCTCAGACTCTCAAGTAGTTCATTGCTTTAATAAAAGTCAATGCACTAGTACTTCAGCCAATTTTCTTTTGCGATAAAACTGCAGAAAATTTTCTTTATATCATTGCTTTTAACGAAGTTCATTTACTGCTTTCTAGGTTTTCATTTTTCAAAAAACATTAGTACATGTCATAAATGGCATTATCAATTTCAGCATTTGAAAGGGTTAAAAAAGGAGGAGCTGGAAGAGATACCACTGGTAACAGAATTCCTTGGAGACTTAAGAACAGAGGTATTTCTTCTTTTTGATAATGAAATCCAATGCATGTCCTGTATGTCTGTCAGGACATCTTTCTACTGTTGTTAAAATGACTTAATTCAACCGTTGTGGACATTTAATCCGTTGATGCTCTTGCACCGTGAAAGAAATCCCTTATTCTCAACAAAGTTCAATTTCATGAGTCAAAATTGGTTATACATCTCATTGCATATGCATGCAACAAAACCAGGACTTACAATACAAGTGGACTTATGTTAAAGTTGATTTGCACACTGACCATTATTATTTGGGTATTAAATTTCAGAAAATTAACTGATATAGAACCTGAGGTTAGACTGACATAACACCGGAGTTTTATGCCCTGGATCAATAAAAAAACCTTTAATTGATCCTATATGGGCTTTGCTCTAGTAAATGAAAAAGCTATGAGGTTAGGCTCACCCCAATAAGGAGAAATTACATGCAAGCTTTCTGCCTTCTCTACCGTTGTTTCCCCAACAAGTCAGTATAAAATGAAAAAATACCCATTTTACATGAAAATGCTACACTCCCCAATATTTTAATTGAGAAAATGAAATTCATTTCAGCACTTCAACATGCTCATCTTAAAAGTTTTGCTTGCATAAACATAAGGAATAAATGAACTTGGCAAAAGGTTTGAGCAATGAACTCACCCCATAAAACCACAAAGCAAACATGCAAACATATTTCCTTCAAACAGTAAAGAAAACAAGTTTTGTAAGACATCATTCTTCTACAGTCTGTTGACTTTCGAAGAAAAGGAATCAAAGCCATATACTATAACATTTTCCTCTTGCAGGATACAGCAGCAGTGGAGGAATTAGAGCACCATGCAGCTGATGAAGAAGCAAGAAGTAATTTCGCACCTTCCTTAAGAATTACAAGAACAAAGCAAATGCACAGCACATACTTAAATGACAACTGGATGTAGATTACACTAAATAAGCACTCCTTCAGAATTTGCAGAGAAATAGTTCTCAAAATAGAAGTTTTGATGACCATCAGTCAATTCAATTGGATAAATCAGCTAACAGAATTTTTGTTATTGGCCAATACAATTACTTAACACACTCTTTCCCTTTGCTTTTCTTATGTTTGATTTGGATGTTAGTGGTAACTATCTTGGTGGTGTTTTTGTCAACTTTGAGTTCATCTGATGGTCTAAAGGGAATGTTACTCTTAAGACTAGTAATCTCACTCTAGATCCTTAGTCATTGTCACTTTAAACTTAAAAAAACTTAATATCCTTGATAACACCAAAAAGGTAAATTCTAGATCTTCTATTTTATCATGTTCAACCTCTCATGCTAAATTTTTTTAATCTTCTTGCAGGAACCTCCACAGCATATACATTTTCCGATGTGTTGCCTACAAGAATAATAATCCATGGACATCACCCAAATGAAAAACTAACTGAAGGAGAAAGTCCTGGAAAACTGATCCATCTTCCTGATACAATAGAAGATCTTCTAAGATTAGCAGGTGAGCACTCCTCCAAGAAAATATTAATACAACATGCAGAGGGACACAGATTTTTTTGGAGATAAAATTCTTGAGATTCAGCATTACGTGCAAAAGTCCTCCACATTCTTGCTGCAACTAAGAAAGGTTTAAACCATTTAACCAAAAGTTCAAAGGGAGATTTCTTATTGTTGGAACAAGAGAGTCCTCAACATTCTTTAAAAATTTTCTAAAATGGGGCTATAAATCCACTTCTCTTTATGTTACTATGAATACATGTAAATATGATTTTACCTGATTAATGGTTCAAGGTCAAATTGGATAGATTAGACTCATAAACAGAATTTTTGTGTGTCTTATGTAACTCTAATTCATAAGTGCAGAAAAACGGTTGGGGAAACGAGGAACTGCAATTCTCATGGCAGATGGTTCTCAAGTGGAAAATTTGAACGCTTTAAGAGAAAATGACCACTTGTACATTTTATAGAGCAGCCGTGTTGAGCAGATACGACCATGCAGACCATGCAAAATCATATTTTGTTGGCAAAGTTTTATTACATATCTTTAAAAAATTATTCAAGTTCAAGTACTGAGAATTATTTTTAACATATGTATATCCCTACCTTCCTATATGCAGTTGTATTAGTAAGAACTTAAACCTAAGAATTTGAATAGTGCGGTCAAAATCAAACCTTAAACCCTTAGCTGATCACCTGGTTATTCAGCATGCTTATAACAGTATAGGCAGCTTTCTGATAATGCTCTTTCTCTTCATCTAAGGTTCTTTTCCTCTCAAGAGCAAAGTCCATGCAGTTCTTTATGTCATCCATTACATCAGAAGAATTCTGATCTATTTCACTGTAGGAATTCATGTTCACAAGTTAAGCTGAAGAAAATGACGACAACCTAACAAAAGGATACTTTGAATTGACAAACACAAAAAGCTTTTTAACTGTTTACCAATCTCACCGGTAACAAAGAAAACTAAGAAAATAAGAGTAGCACAGGAAAAAGCAAACAGGGGAGTATTATCGAAGGGTTGATTAAAAAAAGATGTAACTTACAGAAATAGCACTCATTTACTCAGTTTAAGAGAGTCACCAAAGCTAAATCAAATCAACATTTGAAAAAATTACATCATGCATGTGAACCAAAGGCTTTTTAACTAGGAGTACAGTCAGCTCACTTTATCATCTTAAGCATATCCTCCATAGCAGCTTGTACCCGGTGGGAAAGATCTGCATTTTGTGTAGAATACAATCTCAGCGTTGCAGTCAGCAGAAACAGATGAACAATTTTTTTCCTCGAAAGGATTATGTCATAAACTTCTGTCAAAAATGTAAGCGAACATAGAGCACTATTGAACAATCAATGCTCATTTTCTCCTCAATTGGACCAAGAATAATACGATTCTGTTGTAAATCTTTTACACCTTCCCAATTAAATTCTAGGTACCAAAAAGTAAGTACTCAGAGTACAATACTACTAGCATTTGTTAAAATGAGCTTAAAGATTGTAATAAACTGACTAAACAGATGAATGCTTTGTGAATACTAGACGTAATTGAGATTGAATACAACGTAAGAACCGTTCCAGCATCCTTAGTGACAAAAAGTCATGAATAATCCTAGATAATAATTGTTACTATATTACTTTAAAAACGCATAACGAAATTCGAAAGTTAAATTTTTGTAATTAATTTTCTGGCAGTAATGTCTGAGATTTAGCTAAATAGGCTTGTTCAAATTCCGTAGTTATAAAATTTGAATAGAGATAATGCGTATAAATTCTTCTGTCGCCTTATGATAAAAAACTAGCTGAAAAACGTAGCCGATAAAAGCACAAAACTGCAAATAATTGTGGATAATTCGAGGGAAAAAATGAGAATATTCGCCGGCATTTCCTACTTGAATTTGTGAAATTAAAGTTCGAGAATATTGTACAACACGAACCGTAAAGGAGAGAGGAGAGCTGAGATTCAACGTCGGAACGTGGAAGAGCCAGCTCAGCATTCGCCGGAGATCGTGATGGTGAAGACGACGTCGCATCCGCCATTGCAGATGGGAAAAACACACACACACGCACAGAGCCGAGAGAGACAGAGCTAGTAGAGGAGAAATTGCGAGAACGAATAACTAACCGCGCGCAGTTTGAATTTTCGATTTCTGTATTTATAGGCTTTCGGTATCTGGAGAGTTGATGACGTGTAAATTCTTTGTTTCTTTCAAATTTTTATGCTAGTTTGAATTGGGCCGGGGGTTTCTATTGGGTTTGGTCCATTGGACTGGCCTACGAAAAGTTAATAAGGTACGAAATGGGAGAACTAATATGTAGCTCAAAACGAACTCGAGATGAAATTTTTTGAATGAAGTATCTATCATGATAAGAAAATGTGGATGTCATTTGGGAATTTAATAACATAAAGATAGTAAACTGGCAGGTTTCCATTCATGATTTTGCAATTACACTAAGGGTTAATTTTCTATACACTGACAGTGTAATGTATATGTTGTCAGTTTTGAATGAATAACAATTATGCAAAAGTTGAATTTAAAATTTAACTTTTACACGTGTCATAGATTAAATAGTGATATTATGTACACTATCAGTATATAAAAAATTTATTCTTCTTTTTTTTTTTTGGTGTATATGAAGGGTTAGGAGATCTCAATCACCGCCATGGAAAGTTTTGAGTTGCAAGCTGCAATTTGACCATCCCAAATTCCTTCTATCACTGTGTCAATTTAGATTGAACCAATTTAGATGAAACCAATTTTGGTGAGTAGAAATGGTGTAAAACTTAAGTTTAATGGAAGCATATTTCTCAACCTTGACCAGAGTAAGAAATGGAAAAAGCATAGCTAAAACAAAATTAAAGTTGTTGAGCAAGCTAGTCCGAAGCTGAAATCAGTCTTGAGTTTGTATGAACAAGATGGTCACAGTAGAATCAACTAGCAACACACAATATGTGGGAAGCCACTTCGAGTGGCTTCCAGACGAGTGCGTTGTATACTCGTCTGAGCCGGTAGATGGTTTAGTCCCCTCCGATTTCTCCTGACCTGTTCAGGTTCTCCTCTTTTCGTAGCATAAAAAATACAAAAAATTGTAAGTCCACCGTATCGACCAAAAAAAATAATAAAAAGCAAGACACAATAGTATTGCCAAAGCTCAAAATTTTAATATCCCATTTTTTAACCTTCCCCTACTCATGTCAAATTAAACATCATCTTAAATTTGACTTGGGATGAGTAATATGATTTTTGTAAAGATTTATTGTGGCATAAAATTTGGTATTGATTAGATACTATATGCACCACGTGACATGTCATTCTTTTGTCTAGTGAATATCAGACAAAAAATAGTTCACTCTTGTACTCGATGAATTTTTTTTTTTTTTTTGGTCAATTAGAGGCAGAATTTAAATTTACAATGTTCTATTGACTATGCATACATTAGGGCTTCAACTAAACATAATTTAAACATGTTTGGTGAGTTTGGAAACAATGCATTCCTATTTGCAAATTGAGAGTATTTGCATTCCTACTTGGTGGATTTGGATTGATGCTAAACCACTGGGACTTGTTTGATAACCTAATTCAACATTTAAATATAATGGATTCAGATCTTAACATGTTCAGGCACATTTGATAATCAAACATTGAAAATCTGAATTGATTAAGTAGTACTGAATTTCTTAGACAAAACTTGTTCCCAAAATTAAGTAATAAGTTATTCACTTATTACTGAATGTGATATATACTCTAATCTATTAGATTTAATACTTAACAATTCAATATGTTAATGAATTCAAATTTCGAATTTCAATTTTCAAACTTCAATTTTGTCAAACACACCGTAATTCACCAAATAGTGCATGTGGTGTACCTTCTACCTAATATTTATATAGACGTTCTAATTGAGATCTTAAGGCTTAATGGACCGGGCTCAAGTTGGCCTAAGTGAGATATCCAACTATTGAACTCCAATTACACCGTAGACAGAGGACCTAACTAGCAGGATTAATACCAAAGAATCCAACCGATGGGGGGATAAATGACTTTCAAAACTGCAAAAATTAGAATAAGAATAAAGAAGGAGGCAGTAATGGACTCTGCGTTCTACTCCCCTACCCCCTCAACGCTTTTTAAATTCCATCATTTCCCTATTAAAAAAATAATAAGCAATATCAGGCAGTGATAACATGTGTGGAGTCCTCAAATTGTGATGGAAATTGCAAAAAAAAAAAATTATTAAGGAAATAAATATAAAGTTATCAAGCTGTGTAGATGTGTGGAGTCCTCAAATTGTGATGGAAATTGTTAAAAAAAAATAATTACTAAGAAGATGAATATACAGTTATCAAGCTGTGTAGACAGTAAGGTGCACACGTGTGTGAGTTAGTCATCCCTATCACTCTGTGGACTGTGCCTACAAGAATTTCACATTCATACCTACGCCATCTTCTTGACAATTATTAAACGTTAGGTTATTTCTTTTTTCGTTTTGGGATCAAAATCAAATGGTTAAGAATTCAAGGCATCATAAGCTTACTGTAGTAAATTTTGCAAATACAAGGTTGATTCTGTTGATTCTGCTTTGATTTTTTATCTCGCTTTCCTTCTATTACTTCTTAATTTTTAGGATTAATCTTCTATACATCCACAGTGTATACACTTTTACCATTAGATATATGACACATAATTTAAATTTGAATTTGAAACTCAAATTTTACATACGTATCATGTATCCAATCGTGATAATGTATACACTGTCACTATATATAAAATTAATCCTAGTTTTATTGTCTTTGATTGCTTCTAAATTTTGCGGTCCTTTGTAGATTTAAAGGTCAAAATGTTACCCAATTTGTTGTGTCATCGCTGGATCAAGGCCTCACCAAGTTGAGTCTTTTTTTTTTTTTTTGGGTTCAAATCGGTTCATATAATTCATATAACTTTTGATATAATCTTATACAATCACACTTTGAGTGTAAATTTAAGTTTGTCAATTTATACGGATAAATTGAGATATAAACCTATACAATCACAATTTGAGCGTAAATTTAAATTTGTCAACTTATACGATTAAATTGATCAAATTGTACGAATTTCATCAGACATTATAAGAATTACAACAATTGATCTTAGTAGGATAAGATTGAACTTGTGAGGCCTGATCCGTTCCGAATTTGTCAAGAAAGTGATTTACTTGTTTTGCTCATGTTTGGCCTTTTTATGCACATTTCTTTGGCCATTCGTATATGACAACATTGAGAAGACATGCATAGCTCACGGACATTCACACTTTAGCGGAAAATGGGGGAAAAGGAAAGAATAACAAGCCACACACTCGCACAATCCAGTAGCAGAGTACTTGTCTGACTACAACCACTGAACTTAGCTCGGTGAAATCCCTTCTTGAACTGTAGGTGAGGGTTCAAACTTCACCTGCAGTAAAAAAAATTTTACGGTGATATTATAGTACTTCCTTGATTTAGTCTGGTCTGCATATCTACTAATCCTTGACACACAAGTCTCCTTTGACTCCCCTTCCTGTAAATTAGAATAGAATATGTTATACAATTGTTATCGTTGTCGGAAAAAAAAAAAAGAGTACCTATCTGACTGACTACAGTATCTTCTCGACGAGGAGGCCATGATGATGACAACATAAAATTGGGACTAAAATAAATATAACTACACTATTCTATTTCACAACAACAAAAATAAAAAATATGATGGTTCTATTTAATTTTCTTGGTTTTCTATGACATTGGAATATTTCGTTCTCTGTGACATAACATGCACTAATAAACTAATGCCTGTTGAAAAGATTAATAGTGTTGATTAGTATTAAAGAATCCAATTGATAATTGTGATAGTACAATTGGCAGTGTATTATTGTCTGGGACAAGAGGGACAGTTCAGACATTTGAATATCTTTTGATACAAAATTCCATGAGGGCTTATGCATTATACCAATAGACCCATACTTTTGCAGGCCATTTAACAATTTGGTCTTATTTGAGCCAACAGGAACCTTCATAGTTAACACATAAAAACAAAGGGGTGGTTTTGAATTTGCCCCTCATCATTATCTGTCTCTCATGTTTGGATTCACCTTTCTACTTTCTCCTATACTTGCCTTGTCATGTGCTTTCCACATTGAACCATGGATAGTTTTCTTTGTCAAAAAGAGAAATCAAGGGGAAAAAAAAAGAGAAGGACACCAAACACTTAAAATAAGAGAATAAACAGAGAATATGATTGTGGTGATGGCTACACAATTCAACAAGGAAAGAAAGAAAAATCCCACCTCAGCACTAGCATGTGCCTCAGATGTCTTGCACTATGCAGGCTAATTCAATTTGCAATACAAAAATGACTCTCATCTTATGAGCTATGGATAAATTTCAATCTTCCCTCTTTTGTATCACAAAAAAAAAAAAAAGTATACAATAATATAAACTTAAGATATTCAATTCATTTTCTTGGATAGTAGCCTCACATAGGTAGATACTGAAAAGCATTTAGGCCTCATTTAAGGTTGCAATGACTCGTAAAGAAGCACTTACGACACATGTATTTTTAACAAAAGTGCTTCTAAATTATCAAAAAATGATATTTTTTAAATTACGAAAAATTAATTATCAAACACTCTGAAAATACTTTTAGCGTGTAAAAGCGCTTCTTTAGTAATCGCACCTGCAACTCAAACAGGCCTTAGCGACCTCAAGAACATTTGTCATGTGTGCGCGCTGTTTTATGGAATGTCTATGTGACAATTACGAATAAAGAACATCTCTGGGGTGACCAAATCGAAACTTCTGCCATCCATTTTAGTCATCAGAATAAAGATAATGAACATAGCACCAACTCATGAGCCTTCTGAAATTGAAAACGAAATGACATACGTTTTTCTGCTGCTGCCACTCTCCACAAAGTGGTGGTCACAGCATAAACGAAGTTGAATGGCTCCCAACTCCTCATGTGAAATAAAGGAAAAGATGAATTGACAAACTCGAGTGCAAGACCTTGGCACTAAATTTAACAGTTGTAATCTTTTACAGATGATTATCATGATGGTATGACTCTTTCATAATGTGCTGCATGTTGTCAAAGTAGACCATTCCTTTTGTTGC